CAAATCTGCTGTAAAGTGGTGATTGGTAAACAAAAGTTTAACTTTTTCTATAACAAAAATTTGTCCATACTGTCATGTTTACGTGGAAAGTAAATGTCTTTTTTTATGCAAACAACAGTTTGAGCTCTTTTGAAAACAGTTTTGTTGAGACTTTAAAATCTTAGCAAAAAACAAATAACATAAAATAATAATAATCATAATAATAATAATAATAATAATAATGTGACACATAAATGTATACTGATCTGGAGCCATTACTTTCAAAAGTTGTTTTTTTTTACAACATTTTGGGTAATATAACAGTTAGTTGGCTTTATTTTAATAAAACAAGTTGCCACTACAGAGTCTGTAAAATAGCACACATTTTTCTAAGCATGAACTCAACATCAATATTTGACCTGAGTCTGGACTTCCTGCAAAACTAAATTTTAAGTTTGATGTGACTTTGTAATTCACAGAGCTTTTGGGGTTAACTGGACCTGGATCACTTAGAACAATTAACAATTTAAAAAAATAAAACAAATGTCCTGATTGTTCCTGAAGTACATGATTCATACAAATTAAAACATGTAAAACTTATAGGCAAAATTATAAAATGCTTGACATGAACAGAATGAAGAGGTGTATGAGGCCAATGTTCTCATAAGTCTCACAAGAACATGATATGCTGCCTTTTGATATTTTACTTAAAACAATAAAACAAAAATTGTTTCAACTTTTCACAATAAAAAATAAATCTATAAATTATGAAAAAAGACCCAAATTAAATAATGTTTTTATTGATGGTGACGCACCAGGGCTTTTGAGTCATATCGGTAACAAAGAGATGATGTAAACAGAAGGCTATTCTGTTTCATACATCCTGAGAATAAGCTAATTGTCAGAGAGTTGGCAGCTGAATAGCGTCAGAGAGTTTAATCTGACCACAATGACATGTTTGATTGGTCAGAGCATGGCTGGGTACAGAGGGTGGGGGGTGTAGGGGTGCGGGGGTGAGCGGCCCTCTCTAGTGGCAGTGGAGAACAAACATAAATCTTCTTCAACAATCTATTTTCCATCATACTTATTCACAGGGGACATCTCAAAGTGGTCTTTACCCTTTCTGTCAATGGCTGCCCTCATCCATCAATTTCATAGAGAATTATACCCTAGGATCGATGTAGTTCACGACCGCTGAGCATTTGTCGAGGGGTGGGTGGGGGTGGGCAGGAGGGGATGGAGGGAGGCGGAGGTCCGGGTGGATGCATCACTGCTTGTTCTCAGCACTCACTTCTTGTTGGCCGCCCGCTCAGGCTCAGATAATTCACACCATGTAGTGAAAACAAAACAGTGTTTTTCCTCATCATTAAGGTCTCTTTCCCACAATTAGGACTCAGAAGTGACCAAGTAAACACAAACAGAATCATGAGTAATAAGAAGTAATCAACTCAATTCATCCTCACAAAAAGTGTTTCTTTTTTCTTTTCTTCCAGGAATTTTTTATGTGGAAGTTTAGTTTTTAATCAAATTAAAACGCATACCAGTGATCATCATTAGCCTGGCGGGCCATCAAATATCTGTGAATATGTAGTCTGGCCACGGTCCAAATACTCAGTCGTGGGGCAGGATCTATGGTTGTGTTTCATACTGTCGCTGCATTCTATTGGATAACAAACAATGCTATATACTCACATGTCAGTCAATGTGGCAGTCCGCCATACTAGCATGCAAAAAATCCTTTTTCTAAATAAAGGACTTAAGTATCGAGCTAGATCTGAGTGTTTTTTTCTGACCCGAATGTTTCTTCCTCTATTTTGTTTTGGCTGCTTCTGCAGGAAATAGGTAGCCTAGCAAGCCATCCTATATATGTGAAAATATAGGATGGCCACTGTCCATTGATGTCTCTAAAGCCTGGTTTATGCTTCTCCGTCAGCTCCGCAAGGGACAGACATGCACGGATTGACGGAAGCGTTTTGCTCTCGTACTTCTCCATCTCTTGGAGAGTGTTGCAAAGCAATTGCCCGGCAGGACAACAGAGGGCGTAGCGCCGTTCTGTGGTATCCTGTCATGTATCGGTCCAAGATAGTGTGTTTATATTGTGTTTTTTGTATATAAGAGACTTTTAACACGGACATATTTGTCTCTCATTCTCCCACCGCTTCATGCGCCCCCCACCTCTAAACCCACGTTTCCTGTCATTTCCCTCCACAAATAAAATGTTTGCTGCACATCTTTTCACTCCTCCAGTCACGGGAGAATTAAATGTTCATATTTTTAGAGTTTTTTCGCGAGGTATTCTTCAAGCTTCTCCGTGTCTGCCGCTAGTTATCCTCGGCTCTCTTTGCAATGGCGGCGCTGTAAACAAGAGTGGCGTCCTGACCAATCACAAGCTTGCGTAATCCGTCTCGTTCGACGGATGTTTAAAAAAGTGGGCTCGACTCCGTACGTACTTGCGTGCCTGCCGGAGCCCTACGCAAGGACAGATAATGGCGTTGCGTGTCTCCGCACTGACGCAGACGGAGAAGCATAAATCAGGCTTGAGTCATGGCCGGGATCTATGGTTGCCTTTCAAACTGTCTCTGCATGCTATTGGATAACAAACAACGTGACATACTCACTGCTATGGGAGTAAGGCAGTGGAGCAGTTTGACAGACTTCGTCTAAGTAGATAAAAATACATCCTTTTTCTAAATAAACTTAGGTACTTCTATCTGCTCAAAGGAAAGCCCAAGCCTACATAATCCAAAATTGATGCCAGAGCTGGGATTGGCCCACCAAACCAATGGAGCACTGTCACTGGACTTCTTCAGATGTCAGTCAATGAGGATATCCGCCATTACTTAGAAGAAGAAGAAAATACATAATTTTTCTAAATAAACACGCTGATTGGCCAGCCACAATACTGGCTGGGCTGTGGAGATTCCAGTGGAGCATTACTAAACCAACATATATTGCAACGTGACTTTGCTTCAGCAAATGACTAGGGAATAGGGGTATAAGACTATTTTTACATTCTGCATGCATGGAAAACTCAGTGACTAATTACATTTAACAAAAAGAAAGATGTAAAAACTGTTTTTTCAGTGAACCAGAGTTCCTCACTGGGCTCTAACTGTTGGCGATAAATACATTGTGTCTCTGCAGACGCATGCGGTTTGCTCAGGGTCTCGTACTTGTGGCTAGTGAATTTTCATCATGCTCATGAAACTATCACAAAACTCTCTCAATTGTGGCATTTGTTGGGAACCTGTCTGGAACCGTTTAGTCTGGAACATCTACATATGAATAACTGGGAGAACTTTCCCTGCCTTCTTTCATTGATGAGTGTAAAGCCACTAGATCCCATTTACAGCTATTGTTTTGTGTTTGGAGCCAGAGACAAAGATCTGTTCTGCATGCTCACTACTAGGGGAATGTCCTGTTGGAGATGTTCTGGTGACCAAATCCGTTTACTTCCTTTTGGTCTAAACGTTACATTTTCTGTGTAGTTACTGTTCATGCAGATGGAAGACATTTAGCAAAAATGTTCTTCATTTTAGATTTTGTGTCTTAAAGGAGCATGGGGCAGGATGAAGAAACGAAACTCATTAGCGACGCACTCGGCGCTGTGAGTAACTGCAGCCCGGCACGAGAGCGCGCACAAACTCTTCACTAGAAAAAAAAAGTTACAGTGATGTACGGCCAGAGCGCGGCTCGAACAAGGCACCGTGTAGAGCGATGAAGTAAGTAACATTGTTACTTTAGTCTAATATTTGTAAAATTCCATGACAACATTAGCATTTTAATTTAGCCATGACACTCGTGATGTAAAACAATGTCTCCTTCTTATGAAATATTCATAAGCCAGTTTTGTGACTGGCGAGCAAGACAGTAACATGATGCTACTTTATCAGCATAAGGCTTTGTGGCTGCAGGTGATTTCTGATGTTTTTAGATAAATTACAGTTATTATTTTGCACTAAGCTTACTAACAAGCTAATGTTATTGTTTGTACATCATGTAAGAACATCCAATTTCAAGTCACTGACATCATTTGTGAAACCAATTTCATTACAGGACAGGCATCACAACAATGTAAATAAGAAAATAAATATCAATGTTTAGTTAAAAAATGCATCAAAATAAAATCATAATATTAACAAGACCTACAGGGTAATTCAGTCATTTTTCCATTACTGTCATTGATTTTCAGGAATTCATATTGGAAGCAGTGATGGAAGACAGTTCAGATGGAGTGTGCCCGAGCCTGCCACAGACTTTGATGTGTCGTGGGAAAGTTTGAGACCAGGGGCTAAAGGAAAGGGGAGAGGAAAAGGTCGCTCCGAGGGTCGGGGAAGGACACGCTCAAGGGGTGAGGGCAGCAGGTTGAGGTCCAGAACTCCTTCAAGAGGACCAGGGCGCCGGGGTAGGCAGCGAACAGCTTTCAGAGAAGAGGACCGAGACCGGCTTGCACAGCTGAGAGCTGCCAGTATAGCTGAGATGCAGATTGGTTGAAGCCATTTGTGTAAAAAAATAAAATAATAGATGCCAAAAACGAAAACATCACTCACTGGAGATATGAATCTAGTCATGTAAACATATGCTCTTTAATTCCTAGACAGCTTTACAACACCTGAGCCAGGAGGAGAGAGATTATATTCTCGAGAGAGTGGTGACCCGTCTTCCAGGGGTGATGCTGGATATCCTGGAGTTTCGGCAAGAGACGCCAGGACACCGTCTTCCTGACTGAGGGCAGCCTAACCCAAAAATCCTAACCGTTTATCTACAACTACAGTAGTTCCAAAACAGCACAATACCTCAAAATAACTTTAGCTGAAGACAGCATTTTCACCCAAAAATAAACAGTTTGTGCAATACATTTATTTTTATTTATGTACAAAAAAGTTCAGTTATTTGCATTTGTACATAGTATTCTTAATTTCTAATAAATCTGTGTGCATGAAAGAAGTCATTCCTGTCTTTTGATGCTTCACGTAGCTGGGGCCTTTATGGAGAGGAGAACAGCAGCATTAGATCATACATAGATTACATGAGAATGCAGTTCTGGAAACTCTCCAGTTCTGAAGTTGACCTGTAAAAAAACAAAAGCTACAACTTTATAGATTATTAGGAATCACACCTTTGATTGCCTTTTCACCCACAATTGTCATTTCTATATGTAAATTGTCAGCTTTGATATTGACACTTTAGCTTTTTTGCTTATGAAAATGTTATTAATATACCTGAAGGTCAGATTGGTGACATCCTTCAACCAGCGTCCGTTGAACATGATTCGTTGAAGAGCCTCGTGTGGTGGAGATCCTGGCACCATGAGCTCTTTATCACTGGTCGTTGCATCAAGTGGTCCATGGTCACATTTGCCACGGGTCCATTCATGCTTCCCTGTGACATGGTGAAGCACACCCACCCACATGTCCTAACAGAAAACATAAGTTTTATTTGAAAACTTTACATGTGACAGAAGCGCTCACCAACAGAAACACGAGAGCTGGCACTATTATGAAAAGAAAGGTAATTATGTCAATGTGCATTGTTGTCTTGTTGTCCAAAAGATGTCACAATACTTACATTAAACATATCACAATGTTGTGCTTTCTGGCAGATGTACCAAAATTGGTTGAAGATGTCCTTCAGCCACACAAGTAGGATGGAAATTCCCTTTAGGATCCCAGCCTGTGAACAAGGATAAAACAACAATTCCATCTTTTAGTTCTTTTAAAACATAGAAGGGTTTTATTTACCTGCAACGTTTTGTTTGCGGCTGCAAACTTCGTCAGCCTGACAAAGTTTTCATAACAGTTCTATTCTGTTATGAAAACAATAAATAAAAGTAGAATTAATGTATTGTTTTAAGACTTTGGAGTTTAAAAAAAGAGTGTAGATAAGAATAGGGCTGGGCAATATGGCCTCAAATCTATATTGCGATATAATCTGAAGCATGTGCAGTAACGATATATATTTTTTCATCTGTTTATAGATGTCAAATTGACATGCTTTTAGATATCCTCATGTGGCAAATATATGCCACTTGAGGCATATAGGCCTCCTCCTCTGCCCACTCCATGCTTGCAGTCACTGCCATTCTGTTGTCCCATTGTCAGCAGGGTGCACACCTTAGTGACGTCATGTGTTATCACAATATCGCCGTATTGCGATATAGCCAAAAACTATCATTACCCAATTTTATATCATTTCTACCTTATATCGTTTATATTGCCCACCCCTAGATAAGAAGTCATTGCAACTCACACACTGTTGAGTAAGTTGTTTGCTTGGTCCTCATCAATTTGGACTGCATCCGTAGCTAGATCCATGGATTTGAAACTACAGACAACACAATATTTGTTGTACGTAAAGATAAATACTGGAACTTACCTGAAATGGTACTGATTCTAAAGAGATAAATGTGGAGCCTAATACATCTGTCATTAATCATTTCTGCAAATAACAACAATCTGCTGTGAATTGACACTTCACAACATAAATAAATATATATAATGACCTATATTTGCTTATCTATTGTGTTTTTATCTTTTTTGCAGAGCAGTAATTTCCTGCGTAAATGGCAAGACTTCTCATGAACAAATTTACCTTTCTTCAAAAGGATCCAAATCTAGGTCATCAGCTAAGGCCTCAACACCAGCCATTAGAAAATCTTCCCTGTAAAGATAATGTCAAAAGTGTTTGGTGGTGTGATGTTAGTTCTGAACCAAGTGTGGATATGCAAGGTGTACTTTAATGTATGAAATATCATAGCACAAAAACGTGAATATTTGTTTTACAGAAAAGATACTAACCCCTCAGACACAGGTTCAGTTGGAGATAATCGATGCCACATTTTAGCTGCTGTTCTCCCTGAATTGCGGTTTCAGGAGCCTGCTTCTTCCGGTAGCTGGAAAACACATTTTAAAACAAAAATGTCAACAAGTTGGTTGAGACTCTACACCTTCTGTTTACATAGATCAATAACGGCTAAGCTTCTTTACCTGTGGCACAACTAGTAATATGAAAATGCAGGTCAGTTATAAAAAAATTATTTATCATTTTCACAAACATATTTTATTCTGACCTACATTCAACTGGACAAATTTAGAAAAATAAACACAAACTTCTGCACAACTTTACTTTTAGTCAAACGTGTTGTTATGGCTGACTTATTATTTATTCTTATGAATCCTAATTTTATTTATTCTCAGCAATAGCGCTAGGGAAATATATTCTGAAAATATATATCTCTCATATAAGCTCTTTCATATATTATTATAAGCTCTTTTATATGAACAAATATGTATCTCTCACTTATGCTCCTTATATATTATCATAAATACATTATTATATGCCTTTTCATGGAATCTTGTTATAATATCGAAAACCTCTCTGTGCCTTTTCTGCTCAAGCTGAACAGCTGCATGTTTTCCCCTGCACAGAAAAGGGAGTGAAAGTGCTCCTTCCTTCAGTTCCTCAATACAAGAACAACTGTCTTTGTTAGCAAAGGATGTTGCAGGATGTGTCCTGGTCATCTCAAGGTTGCATGTTCTTGGGATTAATTGGTCTTTCATTAACAAGGCTACTAGCTGACGTGCGTCTGCATGTGCAGATGGCAGAATTACGTGTGTGTGCATTCCATAGTTGGTCAATAAAAATAGCTGCTGAGCAGAGAGAGCTCAGAACACTTGGGTGCAGCAGACATGAGCTAACCGCGGGGTTTAGCTGGAGCTGCAGTGTTCTCCCTCTGCAGCGGTGAAGAAGAGACTGGTCTTCTGATCATTTTGACTCCACATTCTACCAACGAAAGGTGTTTCTCTCTCCATCTGCTCCGAACCTGTATGGTCTAGAAAATAAAGACCAACAAATTTGGCGTCACGAACAGGATTTTTTCTTTTTGAAGAAAAAGGAGTTTTTGGAGGACGATTTGACCAACCGACCCAGTGAACGATCTTGGCACAAAACACCGCGGTGGAAAACAAGGTGAGCAGAACCTTCTTTCTAAAAACTGCTCATTGGATTTATCCAAAGCCTTTGTGTCCAGAATCTTAGTAGCTGTGGTCCTAAAATCATCGTTTGAGAAGAACTTGGAGGCAAAGTGCAGAAATAATAAGAGACTTTTTGCAAATGGTTTAACGATAAATGAGATAAGGAAATAGTACAGAAAAAGGTGTTGGAGGCCCGGGGTTATTTAAAAAGCCCTAAATTCCATAGGGGTTGGAGGCCCAGAGCATTAAGAAGCTCTAAATTCCATTTAAAGAAGGGTTGGAGGCCCAGGGTTATTAGAAAAGCCCTAAATTCCATTTTCCAGGTCGTGGCGGACCAAACTATTAACTGACGAGTGAATAGAAATATAACGAGGTTATATTACGCCAGGTTGGAGTCCTTCAGGGGGTGGGAACCCTAAAATTCCACAGGTCAGGGACCTGTTCTAGGTTATAATAAGGGGTTTGAGGCCCTAGGAGGTAAAGAGAACTCCTAAAATTCTACTACAAGGTCTGGGACCTTTTATGAAACAAGAAAAGTTGGGTTTGAGGCCCTAGGAGGTAAAAAGAGAACTCCTAAAATTCTAACAAAATTTTTGGACCTTTAAAGGTACCAAGTAACTGATAAAAGTAAAAAAAAAAAAAAGCACAGCTGTAGAGAAGCTTCACTGTGTGTGTAAGCTGAGTTCAGCCTGTGCGTGTGTGAGGCTGCTTACGGCTCTGGATTGAAAGTGCAGCACTAGGAGAGTGCAGAATGCAGAGCCGAGTTTTGGGAGCTCCGTGTGTGTGGGGACAGCGCTGGATGATGTGTGTGTGAAGGCCTGATGCGGTACCAGAAAATAAATAAATAAGATAAATAAGAGCTTTAAAAAGTTGCAACTCGTATACGTAAATTGCACTGCAGTGCTAAAATTAATGTTTGAAGCTACGCAAAATTCAAATTCTGCAACCCTGTTCTGATCAGTCTTTGAACAGAACACCATAAGTTCATAAATAAAAGTTTTTTCAAGTAACATGTGTGTATGTATGTGTGTATGTATATATATATATATATATATATATATATATATATATATATATATATATATATATATATATATATATATATGTGCATATATATATATACATATGTAGTGTACAAGCGTGATAATCATTTGTGTGCGGGGCAGCATGTGAGTGACCCCGATCTGGGGGTTAAGTGGCCTGGAGAAGAAAAAAGGGAAAAAACCAATAAGAAAAGCAAGTAAGGGTGTAAATGACAACTTTATTTTAGAAATATATAGACATACATATACATAAAGTCAGATAGCTGCTAAACAGTAAAATCGAAACAGATCTGCAGAAAATAAATATATAAACTGTTTCTCAGAGCGCTCTCAAAAATTGCAATTGGATTTGCTCTAATGTTACATAAGGCCTGCTTAAAAGCATAGTAAGCATTAAATTATGAGAATAATCAGTGTAGTGTTACATAATTTCTGTGCTTAAAATATTATATAAATATATAAAGAGAATAAATAAGTGACGGACTGACTTACTTAAAAAAAAAAAAAAAAGACTGTGACAAACAAAGAATGTCGTCTGTGCCTTGTGAATGAGTGGATGTGTGTCTTCTTGCATGAGAAGTAAATGCTGCTTTCGCTGGATATTCTCCTGAATGACTCAGGTTTTAATAGAGGGAGCAGCTGCTTGAGAAACAGGGTGCGGTCCATGTTTTTGCTAGACGGTTATTTAGTTCAAGAGACTGTGGAAACAATAGAAAAAGAATTTATAGTTAGTGTGATGACAAGAAAATCCTTTAAAATACAAAAAGTTGTATGGTTGTGGTTATAAAGGAAGTATTTTGTCTGATTATGGGCCGTGAAGTCAGCTGGACTCTCTCGCTCTCTCTGTTTTTCTGTGTAACATGCAGTTTTAAGCAATTTGAGACTTTAGAAAGGATATTTCTCGGTGTTTTGGACGTACCTTAGGCTTCTGGTTAGGGTCATCAGGAGATCCTTCCTCTCGGACAGATCTAGTGAGAATGACTGGAGTTTCAGCCTGGGGACCTGACTCCACCCACTTTTACACACAAGAATCCCATAGTCTAAAAATAGCACAGGGTGCTGCGAGAAGCAGCTCTGAACTTCTCAGGATCATCTTTATGAAAACCATAAAATTAACAAATAATCAGTGAGGAAATAAAATATTTGTTAAATCTTGCTATAAAACAAAATCCAACAATTGTCTTGCCTCAACTTTAAGAACCATTAACGTTAATGGCTGGATTTTGAGATGCTGAATAATGAAAAAAACAGATAAACTAAGTATTATTTCCTGTAACCTGGCTAGAAACTGTACCAGGCTGTTTTGAGTTAAAAACTGGTAGTTATTTTCCCAAAATAAAATAGATAAATAAAAAATGAAAGGAGGGATCTTGCATTTGGGATAGATTGTGCCTAATGTTTAAAACCTGTGTAGAACTGATTTGATGATTCAGAACAAATTGTGCATAGGAAGTAGTCTAGATTTACCTTTGAGTCAATAAAGTCGACTAATTATTAGAAACCATCGTTGATTTTGATTTGTAAAAGAGAAAGTTCTGTCATTTCAACCCAATCAACATATTTAAGGAAAACGTTTGCTGTGCATTGTGGCGGCATGAACTTTACTGGGTGGGCCTGTCACAACCAGCTGCAAAGAATGTTTGGGTCTGACTTCTATACAAAGAGAACCTGGAAGCCCTCACCAAAAGCTGTGAATTATAACATCGAGACGGGGGAGCACTACAAGATGGACAAAGAGGCAGAAACTTATTTGCCCTGCTGCTGATGAAACAAAGTACAAAGGGGAGGAGCATGTGTGCTAACATGTGAACTTCAATCAATGACGGTGGTCATCCTGGACTTACAAAGAGAGGCTCAAAAGAGACTGTTTCCTATGGTTACACCCAGTAAAAGAGTGCTTGCTGCAGTCAGGTAATGAACAAGGCTTTTTGGCAACAACCAGTTGAATTGATGAAATGTCAGAATTGTGGAAAATTTACTAAACTACTGTAGTACATAGTTAACTGAGAAGGTTAGACTAAAAAAAAGATAATAATAATAACAATAAATAAATAAATGATAGGATTAGTAACCTGGATTTCAGCCCAACTCACCATTGGACGTCAATATAATCTTTATTATCTTAGGATACTCAGCTGCAGCGGACATGCAGTAAAGCCTCATTTTCTTTTCAAAAAGGAATTCATCAGCGTCATCACTTATCTTCATTAGTTAAGGGAACGGTGTCTATTTATAAGTCAGGAGAACGCTTTAGGCTTCAACAGTTCTCTCCTTCGAGCAAACATGCGCAAATTTCCGGACAGTTTATAGTAACGTTCCATCCCATTCCATTCATTGCATAAAAATAAACATTAAATGAATAATTTGGCATTCAGCTGACTAAATGATTCATGGAACATCTCATCCGAGACAACAGTGTTGTTTCAGCTCCGTTGAGTTTCCCAACAGATCTAGCCAAACCTAGCTGATCCTATATTTTTCTATCAGCTGTAAGTTCTAACGTAGAAAATAATGTTACAAAATATTGAATAATTGTACCTCTCATTTGATAAAAATTATGTTCACATTTTTTATCTTGTGAAATCTTTAACATAACATTTTTAATTGGTCTTTTTGACGACAATTGGCTAAAAAGTCTTTAAGTTTATCATCACAGGATGGCATGATAAATAAATAAATAAAATAATATAAATAAATAAATAAAAATAAGAGAGAAAAAGCAAAATTAATTAAATGAAACGTAATAGTAATAAAACGTTAAAACGATCTAAATCTGTCGTGGAGTCAGTGCCATTGGAAAAAGGAAGAGGATAGGGGAGTATTTCTTAGCACAAATCACGTTATTGATTTAGCAATGCAGCTT